TTGCATGTGCTGGGAGTTGTCAGGAGGGAGAATGAGGATTTCTCATTCTCCTCACTAGTCTCCAGATTCTGCTTTACTTTATCCTCTCCTAAGCCTTATGTAAACTTAAGACAACTCGGGCTGAGACCTTCTATTCCTGTCAAAAGCCATTTTGAAGGAATTCAAGCACTCTGTTTCCATTCTTCTGGGAAATCCTTGCAGTCTTGGAAATCGTAACAGCATTCTACGATCATCTGTTGCCTTGTACAATGGCCTTCTCGACAAATAGATCTCGTCTCTTCTGGGCCCGCCCAGGGCGGGAGGGCGTGGGGGAAAGTGGCAGAGATGGCCGCTTCTGTGCTATTTACTCTTTTTACTCTACTACACTGGCAACTGATCTCTCTTTTCCTTTCTTTTCCGCTCTTCTTTGTCCCTGTCTTTGAGCCTTGGTGATGCCCCACCATTCCTGGTATTAGGTGACAGTTTGTGTCTGAAGCTTGGTGGAAGCCGATTGTCATCCTCCCTGTGCCCCGTCTGGCCCAGGGCAAAGGTCTCTTCAATGGGGAAGATGCCTCGGCCTTCTTAAACTTCATTGTCTACACCCAGAAACGCAGAGCAAAGAGCTCCAGTTTCTCAAAGGGGAGGATATGCTCTGAGGGATTGCTGCAATTCTCTCCATTTTTACACCACAAAGGTTGGGGCATGATTTCAAATTTGGTTTATCTGAGTTTTGTTTAAACACGTGCAATGTTGCTACAGGATTCTTCAACTGGTCAGGGCTTCCGGTAAGATAATACAATAAACTCTAGGCACATGGAGAACCTTGCATAGTCTCTTTTCCAGTGAAGAGTATTATGGCTGTTGATGTCATAATCGCTCTGATTATTCCTGGGCATCCTGGGGAAGGGTGTGCATTCTCTGTCTCTCTCTGCCACGAGGGCTTTTGGCAGCAGCAGCGGTGTGCTACCGTGCTAGCAGAAACCAGATGACCAGCTACCAGTTTTTGAGGGCCAGGGATAGAGTGGAGAAGGCAAGGGACTAATTTGGGGGCATGTAATTGGTCTGAGAGGGAACATGCCTCTAGTTAAAGATATCATTTCTTTTCATCTATTACCACAACTATACGGAAATGGTTGCATTTACAGTTTGCATTTCATGAAAACAGATCTTTCACATGGGTCAGAGTGGTTTTTATGTTGCCAGACCTTGGCCTCCCTGCGTTGCCTTACCCAGAGTATCATTTTGGTAACAAACACTCATGAATAAGGTAAATTTGTAGAAACCCTTATAGATTCTTTTGAGTTTCTATAGGTAGTACAAATATTTTAAAAACCACTTTATTGGGGCGCCTGGGTGGCTCAGTCGTTAAGCGTCGGCCTTCGGCTCAGGTCATGATCCCAGGGTCTAGGGATGGAGCCCTGAATCGGGCTCCCTGCTCGGCGGGGAGCCTGTTTCTCCCTCTCCCACTCCCCCTGCTTGTGTTCCCTCTCTCGCTGTGTCTCTCTCTGTCAAATAAATAAAATCTTAAAAAAAACCCCACTTTATTATAATTACCAATATGTTGCTTCTCCTTTTGTTTTTCTTTTCTTACAAAAACGTAAGGGATGGGACACTTACCAGAAGGATCTGTGGGGGCAATGCTTTTCATCTTCAATCCATCCAGAAAATGTACAGAGAAACTCACATTTTTGCTAGTTTTTGTTCATGCTCTGGCAGTATTTCAACCATAGGATCATCTGGAAGTTTTATCACCACAGAAGGTGATGAACATTTCATTATTTAAAACTTCATTGTTTTACACCTTCCTAGAAGCAAAAATTCTACCAACTTTTAATATCTATCAAAGCAGATTACACATGAATGCATGGGGTTTCAAAGAATTTGAGCACTTTTTTTTTTTTTCAATTGTATCAATATCTCTTAGGATCTGGATTTGGGGACTGACTGGAATTGGCTTGGAAAAGTGAGTAGGGAATCTCAAGATTGGTCTGGAACGTGGGAAGAAGGCAAATCAGTGGGAACCAAAGAAGGTCACTCCGGAATTGTTTTGTTTTGTCTTCCAAACTAGTTCCCTAGTACAGATGTACCTGAGTTTCTCAAAACAGGAGCTATCAACACCTAAAGGTTGTGGTCATCGGCCAGGGGCCCCGTTCCCGGCTCCCGTCTTCCTTCTGCTGTTTCTCTTTCTCGGAGCAATCCTCTCCCTGTGAGAGCCTCCATGTCCCCACGGGCCCAGCCCAGACCTCTTCTTTGAGGCCTGTCATTTGAGGGGGTTATTTTAGTACCCGGTGATGTGAGTTCACGGCAGCTGGCTTGCAGTTTAGAATCCCTGCCGTGTATTGAAGGCCACAAAACCATTCAGTCAAATACACAAGGAAGTTTCGGTGCTGTCCTGAACTTCTAGGATCTGCCTTCTTACATAACTGTCCTCTTCAGTGATGTCAAAACAAATGAGGGCAGAGGGAACCTGAAGGGACAACAGGGCATTGTTAGCAGACCTGGTTTGCAACTCTTTGTAAATTAATTTTAGCATTCCTTATTCCCTATTGTTAAAAACAAGACAACCGGCCCCAAATAGAGTCACTTACGCTAAGTCCCACGTCAACAAACAGAGACTTAACTTAATGACTGTTTCAGCTCTTGGAGAAACGGAATCTTAAACTAGTCCATCAGGAATCACCTGATCAGCATTAGTTAAGTAATCTGTCTGATAAACCCCTGCCATGCCCTAAAGGAAAGTAACCTTGCAAGAAGCAATTTACTTTTTGTCTGGTCTAACTTCCTTGTTCCACCCCCTTTCTGCCTAGAATAGTCTTTCATTTCACATAGCTCCTCAGAGCTCCTTCCTGTCTGCTGGATGCATGAGTAGTAAAGACTAAGGTCTTTAACATGTACTCAGCTTAGTTTTTGTTTTTCAACACCATATATGTGTGGTTTTTTAAAATTCTCCTTTGAACTAGTTAAAGGGTCATCTCGGTTCTCTCATTAATGAATTCGATAAAACCTTTGATGTGTTTTCATTTTATATTTGTATGAGAGGCATGATTTTTACCTTTTAAAATATATCTTTTAACATTAGGTACATAATATGCTAAGTACTTTTCTAGATGCTGATGGAGAGCAAGAATTTTCTGTCCCCTCAAGGGTCTTTCTAGCGGGACTAAGAATCAAATTGACTTGAGGCAGATTAACAGGAGAAAGTCAAATTTAATGGTGCACATACGAGGAATCCACATAGACATGGAAATTCCAAAAACAGGCAAAATGACGTATACATGTCATCCTGAACTAAGGAGAAGGGGCTAGAGGTCTGGGACTTCAAAGGGAGAGAATGCACTTCACAGGAAGATGAAAAAGGGTAAATGTTGGGTAAACAAGTGTTTGCTGGGCTATACAGAAATGGGACATAAAGGATTCTGATCAAACAGGCCTTATTAAGTTCTTCTCGATCTACCACGCCTAATTCATATCATACTGTAGTTATCTATAGCAATACCTCGCTTCCTGAAGCAGGTTCTCTGAATTATTTTTAGGCAGTTGAGGGGGGCAGGTAAAGAGCTTTTCCTGAATCTCCTGGATTTAACTGAATCTTCATGCCAAAGTGGCCCATCTTGGGGTGGCCTGCCCTTGGCCCTTTATATAAAGCCCTTTTGTGTGTTTATTTAACAAACCCAGAACACAGTTTTGGATGCTATGTGCTGTTCTAAGTGCTTGATAAATGTTAGCTAATTCAATCCTCAAAACAGCCCTATAGCACTTGTGTCCCTTCAGCCCTTACTAGCCCGTCTTATCAAACTGAGTTTCAGGCTCAGCATCTGGGGCGACGTTGTGTCATCACTGAGCGCCAGGGGAGGGAGCCCAAGTGCAAACCTGGGTGAGGCTGAAGCACTCAGGCCTTCTGCTGGCCCTGGGGTTCCCTCTAAGTGAGCTGGTGGGTGAGATGAGAATGGGGCCCCAACTTTGTTTTGTAGGACGCTGCACCTTTAAGGAGCAAAAGGGTTATGTTGACAGAGGGGAGGGACTATGATAAATGGGTTCTGTAGAGAAGCCCCCAGCCAGGGAGGGATCAGCACTGGGCCCAGTGGTGTAGGGCATTGCTCAGACTGCCATGATGCCTGTTGTGCTGTGTCTTATAAAAGTCAACTTCGGGGCGTCTGGGTGGCTTAGTTGGTTAAGCGTCTGCCTTTGGCTCAGGTCATGCTCCCAGGGTCCTGGGATCAAGGCCCTCGAGCCCCACGAGCCCCACATCCCACTCCCCACTAAGTTTGGGTCTGCTTCTCCCTCCCTCTCTGTTCCTCCCCCGCTCTTTTTTTCTATCAAATAAAATCTTAAAAAAAAAAAAAGTCAACTTAAACTATTGCGCCACTTCTCCCCCCAGGGCCCTCTTTTTTCTCAGAACATACACTTTAGTTTATTATTTTTTTAAATGTATGGTCACCATGCCCATGGGAAAGTCAAGGTGACAGTGGGAGGCAGCAGGATATGGGGGGGCGGCGCACAAATGGAATCTGCTGGACTCGGGTTCAAATCTAAGTTCTGCCACTTACTGGAGAATAAAGTTAGAATCCACTTAAATGAGCCTTAAATCTCGGTGGGATTAAGTAAATGCTTCCATCTCTTTTCCCACAAGAAGTGAGCAAGGGCTCAGCTGGGCCTTGCAGCTGGGGAAGAGACTCGAGGGTCCGAGGGTCTGAGGGTCCGAGGGTCGGGGGGGGGGGGGGTTGGGAGAGGGGGAGGGGAAGTCGGTTCCGAATTGGCTGAGAAGAAAGTCTGCCTTCTGGTGTTGCTGCTAGAGGGCTGGCTAATACCGCAGGCTGAGCCGCGGCCCCAGCGCCGGGGAGGAGACAGACTTCCAGCAAGCTCGGGAGGCAGCAGCCCGGCCAGATAAAGATCTGTGACTGGCAGCTCCAGATCGACCTGCCTTCCCAATTCCTGTTCCAGAGCAAAGGTCACCCGGCCGTTTGCATCGGCCTCTTTTTTTTTTTCATCTCCGCTTTGTTTACCTTATAAGGAAGGTCAACATTACAAAGTCGAAAGTGCCTGTTATCATCCCCTGGATTTCGACAAATAGTTCCCTGAACCAGAACGTTCCATGTGAAAGATGGCTGGGCATTCAATCTTGCTGGCTGCTGTCTCAGTCCTGTCGGCCTGTCAACAAAGTAAGAGTGTCAGGCTCTGTGTGTGTGTGTGTGTGTGTGTGTGTGTGTAGCAGGGGGAGGGCGGTCTGGTTTTGAGTTTCATACTTACTTCCAGGTGGCATAGGCTACTCTGGGTCATCCGCGCCTCTTTCCCCGGAGACAGAGATTTGGAACATTCCAGGGAATAGTTCTCGAAAAGGGGCCGAGGTAGGCTCTCTGAGCCCAGCGATTCTAACACGTTTGTGGTTAAAACCGACAGCCCGGTTCAGATGAGCGTTAGAAAAGCACCAGCTAACCTGATGGAAGCGGTCTATCCACACTTATTCGGAGTGTTCCAGTGGAAACATCTTACCTGCTTTAGACCATGGCTGTGATTTCTTGAACCCTGATCTTTTATTTTTTTAAAAATTTTATTTATTTGACAGAGAGAGACATAGCGAGAGAGGGAACACAAGCAGGGGGAGTGGGAGAGGGAGAAGCAGGCTTCCCATGGAGCAGGGAGCCCGATGCGCGGCTCGATCCCAGGACTTGGGATCATGACCTGAGCCGAGGCAGACGCTTAACGACTGAGCCACCCAGGAGCCCCAACACTGATCTTTTTTTTTTTTTTTTAAAGATTTTTAATTTATTTATTCATGAGAGACACAGGGAGAGATTATTCATGAGAGACACAGAGAGAGAGAGAGAGAGGGAGAAGCAGGCTCCCAAGGAGCAGGGAGCCCGATGTGGGACTCGATCCCAGGATTCTGGGATCATGACCTGAGCCGAAGGCAGACGCTTAACCATCTGAGCCACCCAGGCACCCAACCCTGATCTTTTTAATTAATGTTTCTTAAAAATGAACTGCCTACGGTAGGTATAATAATCAAATCAGGTTTAAAGAAATCTGCAGAAATACGAGCTTCAGCTTAGGTGATGAATTGGAAACCTTAAAACCTTCCCACTAGGATTATTGGGTAGCTCAATTGCCTGGTTATGTAAAGAGCATTTGCTCCATGGGGGGTGGGGGGTGTCACATTTGCTCAATTCTTACCATCTTATCTATGATATCAACTTAACATGCTAAATGGGAAAAAGGGTCTGGACACGGGAGCAAGACTAGGAAACAACCGTGCATATTTCTTTATTTTTCTAAGCGTGCTCCTCCCAGGAAGGGGGTGCAGAGCCAGGGTGCACAGACGGCCACAGCATGAAGGGACCACAGCTTTGGATAAAGTCCCACCCTGCATGCAATTTCAGTGTCTTGCCTAATCAGTTGTTTTGTGTATTTATGAAAATAGGATACCATGACACACATTTTGTGGTTTGATTCACATTCTAGAGTAGAGCGGGATGTTTATTGCCAACTAAAGCAGCACTTGGGTCTCGGGGACCCACCGTGCTGACCCACTGATTCACATACACCTCCATGGAAGCATACCAACCCTCTGTGTTTCCTCTTCCTGGTTTTGCAGGGAGCACAGGAGTGGGGCCACAGATGCCCCAGCGCCTCTGTCAGCCTCACAGAGAGGCTTCTGTTTACTGGTGGGTGCAGGGGACCGTGGGAACTGTGGCCAGAGGTCAGGTGGGGGTGGGTGGAGAGGAGAGGAGACTGGGCCCGTGGTGGTTGGCGGTGTTAGAAAACAAAATTCAACTAAGTTGTAAAGATCTCGTTGGCTTTATTCAACGCGTCATGAATCAGGCAGCATCCCATCTAGCAGATAGAAAGGCGCTCTGGAGAACTGTACAATATGAAAGACTTACAGGCAGAAGCGGGGTTGTTTGTGGCAAAGGTCACCTTTTTTAGATAGCATTTATCTATCAGGCAGATTGCCTCACTAGTGCTAACCAGGTAATTCCAGATTGGCTGGTGTAAGATTCCACTTCTGGGAGAGGTTGAAACCGTCCCTAAGTGAGGGATTAAGTCTCAGTTCGGTGATACCAGCTTAGTGCAAATAACTCCGTTTTGGGCCCGTTGGCTCTTTTTTAACAGTGGTAGACAGGGAACGTTTACTGATTGGGTCGGGGAGAGGGAGAAAGAGAGAAGGAGAAGACAGAACTGTTGAGTTGACATTAAGGACCAGAATTTGCTGCTTCTGCAAAAGTGTGGTGTTTATGGAGAAGGGACACCATGAAACATGGTAGAAGCGGGTCAGGGTTTGAAGACAGACAGTCTCCTATCTGTCCAGCTCAGCCACTTATCAGCTGGGTGCCCCTGGCCAGGATATTCTGTCCTTCAATGTCCTTATCAAAGAGCGTTAAGCAGGACACTGGGTGAGAAATGCCCACCAGGGTGCCTGGCCTGGGGTTGGCGCTTAGCATGGTCAGTCCCCATCCTCTGCTGCTTCCGCACAGAAAGAAGTTTCCACTGGACTGAGAGGCAGCCACACAGTCAAGAAGCTGAGCTATGGCTGGGGCAGGGGGAGGAGGTGTCTCGATTCACTCGATTCACTCACCCCAGCATACATACATCCCTCTGGAGAAAGTGAAGAAAAGAGGAGAGACAGGCATAGCAAAAGGAGCGTATTCCCAAGTAGTTTTTAGGCGACTGGTAGGGAGGGAAATAAAATGGTGCCGTCCAGAAAAGGTAAACCAGCCTTTCCACCCTCCTCATGGGATCCCAGCGGTCGCCACGGTCTCTCTAAGGTCCCTGACCTGGAAGCACAGAAAGGGGCTTCTCCTCTGGGAGACGATGGCCCAACTGAATCCTTCTTCCCGGGGCTGTGGGTGGGCTGGGGTTGGGGGGAGCATTCAGACACCCCTGCCATTGCCAGAAGCTTGTTGCTCAAGGTTGCCGCTGCTGCAGACAGGTGCGGCCAGGTGCTACGCACAGCCAGGAGGCTTTCACATACAGCTTCATTTCGAAGCTCTGGGTTCTTGCACCATTTACCACGTGTAAATCAAGGAGCACACATCTTTCATTGTTTCCATCTTACAGATGGAAGCAAGAAGCCTTACCAAGTGTTTTCTCCAAGGCCGTGTGGCCATGGTAGCAGCAGGGTACAGAATGGCCTCCGTATTTCCCCTCTGCAGACACATCTCCTCTTTGGCTCCAGCGGGGCGCATGACTCATCGGCACCCCCCCAGAATCGTGCTGCCTCGTGAGGATTTAGCCAGGGCTGGAAACAGTGCTCAGTCCCACATTTTCCGGATCTTCACCCTGCTGTCTGGCTTCAGGGTGGCACTGCAGTTTGAATGAGAGGCTCCAGCTAAGCATTTATACTTTAGATGTTCAGCTACAGCGTTTAAATCCTAAGCAACGGTTTATTTGTAGCAGAGAGGAAGTCAGGGGTAGGGAAGAGGCCTGCTGTGCGAGCCCTTACTTAAACCAGACTCACTATTTACTGACTTGTCAGAGGGGAGATAGTATCGGCTCTCAGGAGGAAATGCATCACGCCTAAGACTGTCACACAAGCCAGGAATGTGGTGCGCTAAAGGAAACTAGTTTTGAAACATGAGCAAGTAGGAAATGGATATGTAGGTACTAAAATAAGTGAGACCAGAATTGTGTTGGAGAGAACTGGTAAGGAAATGAAACCAGAAGAAATAATCTAAAGGGAAGTCAAAGACCCCAGAGTTAATTATGAGGCAGAAAGAGGGTGATAAGAACGGGAGGTGGGAACATCTGACCAAGGAGGAAGCATGGGTCTGGAAGCCAGTGAGCTTTACAGGGCTGGTCATCAGATGTAAGTGACTCTGGCATTGGGCTTAGATGATCTAATGCAACAAATGTGGCCAAGGAAGGAGGACAAAGTCATAATCATTTCATAGTAGGGAAACTGAGTCAGACAGGGAGGCATCGTTCCCAAAAGTTTTCTTGTGACCCTCCCTCCTGGCTCTTGTCCTCTCTAGGTAGGCACTGATCGGTTTTATGTCACTGTGGATTCATTTGCATTTTTGAGAATTTTATATAAGTGAAACTATACAGGACTATTCTCTTCTGATCTTGCTTCTGTCATTCAGCATAATACGTTTGAGGTTCATCCATGTTGTTTTATGTGTCAATCGTTCATTCCTTTTTACTGTCAAATAGTATTCTATTATATGGATATACCACATGTACAATTTGTTTATCCATTAGCTTGTTGACCAACATTTATGTTAGGGTTCTCCAGAGAAGCAGAACCAATACAACACACACACACACACACACACACACACACAGGCATTTATTTTAAAAAATTGGTACATGCCATCGTGGGGGCTGGCAACTCTGAAATTTGCAGGGCGGGCTAAAGGCTGGAAATTCCAGCAAGAATTGGTGTTGCAGTATGGAGCCTGAAGGTAGTGTGGAGGCAGAATGCCTTTCTCTTTGGGGAATGTAAGTCTTTTCTCTTCAGGCCTTCAGCTGATTGGATGAGGCCCACCCACATAAGGAGGATAATCTGCTTTACTTAGAGTTTACTGATATAAATGTTAATCACATCCAAAAAATATTTTCACAGAAACAACTAGACTGGTGTTTGACCAAACAGCTGGGCACCATGGCCTAGCGTAGTTGACACAATAAAATTAACAATTGCAGAGTTGTTCCTAATTTTTGGCTATTATGAATAAAGCTGCTATGAACATTTGTGTACAAGTTTTTGTATGGACATATGATTTAATTTCAGGGAAATAACTAGGAGTGGAGTGATTGGTTATATGGTCTATGTATGTCTAACTAAAAAAATCCATTCCAAATGGTTTTCCAAAGTGATGGTACCATTTTATGTTCCCCCCTCGAGTGTATGAGAATTCTGGCTGAGGCTTACCTCTCTTTTTAAATTGATACGATTTGTCTTTTTAATTTTATACATTTTAATAGGTACATAGTTGTATCTAATTATGATTTAAATTTGTGTTTTTCTAATCATTAGTGATGTGCCACATTTTAATCGTTAATCCCTCTATATACTTGCAGGTTATTTTGCTTTGCATGTAGGAAAGGCAAGATTAAAATACAAAGTCACACCCCCAGCGGTCTCTGGGTCACCAGAGTTTGAAAGAATATTTCGTGCACAGTAAGTAATGCTTCCCCCACCCTTCTGGGATCCGGGCCTAGCACATACAGAGAATTCTGATCAGGGGAAAGAGGTACAGAGAAGGTATCTCACTGGAACAAACCATGCTTCACAGCCAAACCCCTTCTCATGATCCTTGAAGCTTGAAGCATCTAGTACATGGAGTCTCTACCCACCTAGAGGGTACATTTACAGAAAAGGCTGGGATCTTAAGAAAGATTGCTATACATCTCTAAGCATGGCAGTTTGGTTAAAGAGCCCCTTGAGTACCCTGAGAGTTCTATAGCCTCCAGCTGGACTAGCTATGACATCAATTTTCTATCTTTATTTTTCCTTTCCACGTGGAACAGAGGTGGGTCAGTTTTACCCTCTGCCCATGAACCATTTCCTAAAACCCCAAACCTGTAAGAATGAGAAAGCTTTCCATTTCACACATACTTGTAGTGATTTTGATCATCTTGTCTTTTCAGATGCACACAGAATGTTCCACCATAAACACCATGAATTTGGCTGCTGCAGATGCTAGGGCTCCCTTTAGATTTCATCCCCAAAATAAGTGCTTTTAGAAACATTGCATGTGTTACCATTTATATGTCGCTTGGTTCTTTTATTAATACTTTGGGATTTTTCATCTATGTCATGAGTGATGTGGGCCTATAATTTTCCTTTCTTCTATGATCTTTGTCTCACTTTTATATCAAGATTATACTAGTCTCATGGAATGAGTTAGAGAATTATTTTCTCAGAGAATTTTAATAAGACTGGGAGAGTGTGTTCCTTCAAAGCTGTTAGAATTTGCCTGTAAAATGATCTGAACTGATGTTTTCCTTATGGAAAAAATTTTAAACTATGGAATTTGATTTCTTTAATGATGATTGGATTATTCAGATTTTTATTACCTCTTGAATCACTTTGGGCAAGTCATGATCCTTGAACTGACAGCATTGTTCTCTTGTCCATCTCCTTGTTTCAACAAGAATTGCACAGACTATTCCCCAGGCTTGAAAGTGTGGGATGTTAATAGAAGAGATAATTTTAAGAGGTGCCTAAACATGTTTTTTTCAACAAAATTTTATTGTGGTAAGAACATGTAACATGAGATATATCCTCTTAAAAAATTTAAATGTATAAAACATTATTGTTCGTAGAGGTACCGTGTTGTACAGCAGATCTCCAGAACTTGATCTCTTACTTGACTGAAACTTTGTGCCCAAGATACGATTTTCAGTAATGTTGAACAACATGATGAGAAACTCATTTCCATTCCAGTTGTCTTTGAATCTTTATGTCAAGTGGAAAACATTGGTTTGATGCCAGTCTGTCCCACACTTCAATATTTATTTTTGTCAGAGTAATACATGTATATGGTCTGAAAATAAAGTGAGATTACAAGCTTGAAAGCAACAAATAACTCTCCTTAACTGCCAATCCAACCCCAGAGACAACCATTGGCACCCTTCTGACTACTACTTTTGGTATTTACTTCCATATTTCTAAACATTATGCTTTCACTGCTGTTTATTGATTCACAAATTTTAGACATTATCAATTAGCTTCCTTTTAAGGAAGAAAAAATTTCATGTCTCTCCACTTCCTCATTTCCTTACTTCCACCTTCCAGTACAGTTATATCACTTTATTGAGTTAAACCAATAGCCAATGTTTATATTATTGTAATTAACTAAGTAATGTTCAAAGCTGAGTCAAATAGTATACTATGATTTCATCTCCTTCTTGTGAAATTTTTTGTTTTATCTGGGGTTAATGATTGCCTCTTTGTTTGCTTAGTTTCATCCTCATTCTTTAACAGAACTGGAAATCTTCTCTTAATACATTCAAATACATTAATCTAGTAATACCATTTGTGTTTTTTCTTGGATCATTTCTGCTTGAGTCCTCAATCTTTCTGCTCCAGTCTGGAGGAGGCTTTTTAAACCTGCTACATGCTGTCATTGTGGACTTTTTGTCATTATCCCAGGAATTTTCCTCATATCCTCCTAATTTGGATTACCTGTTTTCCTGGATCTCCTATTTTCCTATTTATTGGTTTTCTCTCATTTTGGTGGAACATACCCTGCAGAAGTTTCCTGAGAGAGGATGAATAGTTGGTCAAATTTTGAGACTTTACTTTTCTAAATATGCCTTTATTCTGCCTCACAGTTGATTGATGGCTTGGTTAGGCATGCATTTCTATGTTAAAAATCCTTACGCTTAGAATTTTGAAAATATTCCTTTATTATTTTCCAGTTTCCACTGATACTGTCATGATGTTCTGTGCCATTCTAATTCCCGGTTCTTTGTTTGGAAACTGTGGAGGCTTTAGGATCTTCCCCTCATCCCAGTGTCCTAAGATGTTCTGGTGCTGTGCTTGCTTAGAGGCATTTGACTTCACTATGCTGAACCCTAGATAAGGCTTTTTTATAGCCTGAAAATGCATGTCTTTCTGTTCTAGAATTTTTTTAAAATGTCTTTTTCCCTGAATTTCCTCTTCTTCATTTTCTCTGTTCCTTTATTCTTTTTATTTATTTATTTATTTATTTATTTATTTAAAGATTTTATTTATTTATTTGACAGAGAGAGAGAGACACACAGCGAGAGAGGGAACACAAAGCAGGGGAAGAAGGAGAGGGAGAAGCAGGCTTCCCGCTGAGCAGGGAGCCTGATGGGGGACTCGATTCCAGGACCCTGGGATCATGACCTGAGCCGAAGGCAGATGCTTAATGACTGAGCCACCCAGGTGCCCCTGTTCTTTTATTCTTAAAACCTATATTAGTTTTATGTTGACCTCTGGATGGGTCATCTAGTTTTCTTTTATCTTTGGTTTTTCATCTTCTTGGACTTTTGTTCTGGGAAATTTCTTGAACTTCTGTTTACTAATCTTTAAAAAAAATTCAGATATCAATTTTAATTTCTAAGAATTAATTTTTATTCTTTGTTCTTCAGTTATTGCTGCTATTAAATTATCCCCTTTTTGTTTTATGGATACAGTTTAATCTCTTATATCTGAAGATTTTAATGATAATATTTTTAAAAAATTTTTTGTATCATTTCTGTTTTTTCCAAGTTCCTTATTTGTCGATTTCAGCCTCTGTCTTTCATTTTTATTTGTTATTTGCCTATTAAGTATCTATTGAGCACCTCTATATGCCTGGCACTGTTCCAGTAGCTTATCAGTGAAAAAATTAGACAAAGATCCTTGCCTTCTTGAAGTTTACCTTACAGTCAAAGCAGACAGAAAGTAAACAGGTAATATTATAAGAAAATACTATATTATGCAAGAGGTGGTAAGTGTTAAGAAAAAGGAGAGCATTGTAAGGGGGCAGAGGGGTGGGTTGCTATTTAGGGTGGTCAGTGTGGACCCCACTGAGAAGGTGACACTTGAGCAAAGTCTTGAAGCAGGTAAAGAGTTAGCCATGTGAACATGCAGAGGAAACCCGCTTGAGGCCGAGGGACTAGCCAGTGCAAAGACCCTCAGTGGGAATGTGCCTGGTGGGTTAGCGAGGAAGTCAGTGTGGCTGAGAGAAGGAGCCGACAAAGTGGTAGGAGGTAAAGTCAGAAAGGTAATGGATGGGTCATGTAGGGCCTTAAAAGCCGTTATAAGGACTTTGGCTTTTCTCTGAGTGAAACGGAAAGTCATTATTAGGTTTTGAGCAGAAGAGTAATATGATCTTATATTTTAAAAGGATCACGTGGTCTGCTTTGCTGAGAACAGTCTACATGGAGGCATTGGTAGAAGCAGGAAATTCAGTTAGGAGGCTAACTTGAACCAGGGAGGTAGCAGTAGAGATGGTGAGAAGTGGTCAGATTCTGGATATGTTTTGAGGATAAAGCCAAGAGAATTTCCTGACATAATAAATACGGAGTGTGAGAAGCGTCAAGAACGACCTAAAAGATTTGGCCCAAGCATCCCAAGAGACAACAGAGAAAGACAACAGAAAGAGAGAAGGCAGCAGGAGGAACAGTTCTGGGAGGAAGACTGGGAGGTTCTGTTTGACATGTTGTGTCCGAGATGTGACTTAATGCTACAGCTAAGGAGAGGCTGTAAGCATTGTCATTCACTAAGCTACTTGGATCCTTTCTTGTCGCGTCAGAAACAGCCTAGTACATTGTTTACACATCTGAGTAGAGAGATAGCAGGCAGGAGGATATACGAATCCGCATTTCAGCAGAGAGATCTGAGCTGGAAACAAATTCAAGAGTCATTGGCACACGAAGATGATTTAGAACCACAAGAATGGAAGAAATCTCTCTTTTTTGGAAGAACTCTTTAAGGGTGTGGGTGTAGGTAAAGGAGAGAAGAGGAGCAAGGACTGAATCAGCCTTAGAAGTCAAGAAGACAAGGGTCCAGCAAAGGGATCTGAGCAACGGAGATCTTAGAAGCTTTACTCAAATGTCAGTGGTTCTTGATTGGCTATCTGTGCCAATTTAATAAAGAGTATCAGAAAATGAATTGGAAGCTCTGTGTGCATGGGTGGGGCTTACCGAGTGGGCAGCTTCACCAAAGGGTGATTGATCAGCAGCAGCTTTTTTTTTTTTTTTGGACAGCCCCAAATGTCAGTATCTGTAGGTTATCTTTCTGGGACCATTTGGTTTCTCTAGAGAAAACCCTTAAGCCCCCTGTGGGGACAGGCAAGAATAGGGTGAGGGAGGAGGATGTGTATAATAGGTCTCACTTCTAGAAACCTGAAAGTGTGGTGGGTGAAGGAAGTCTTCCACTACACGTATGCAGGTGCGCACAGTTTTCAGTACAGAATTTTATCCCTACCCTCCATTATTTCTGCACCCCCCTTGCGACTCTTCGGTTCAGGTTCTTTAGACAACAGACCTCCCATCTCCTGGGACAGGGAAGTAGGGATGGGGCTCGGAGGTGGAGGGGAGCTAAAGCACTCCTTATTATAGTCTGTCAACCAGTTCTTCCCTTTCAGCCTTTGGCCTCAAAGGTACCCGGAGACCCTAGTTCCTGAGCCTCTTGGGGTTCTGGGATGAGCAGGATCTTAGTCT